TATATATATATATATATATATATATATACTGTATGTGTGTGTGTGTGTGTGTGTGTGTGTATATATATATAAATATTACAAATGTCTGATGGAGAACCGAACTGAAATTTTTGTTTGAGCAAAACTGAAAACACACTGAAATCAGGTGTTTTCTAAAAGGTTCCGGAAATTTTAAGTCAGACTTCTGCACCTGTTGACAGGTATGTTGGTTCACTGTTCGTGAGATTTTTCGATATTTGTTTTTTAAAAATAAAATCCAAATCAATATTTTATTCTACTAAATTATCTTTTAGTTAACCTTTACTACTTTTTTCAGTTTTACATTACTTGAATTACTAGTGTGTATCTATCATTTTCTTTAATGAGATTGTATGTAAACTTTTAAGCACAACTTTCATCATAATTACATGAGAATTTATACCCTGTAATGTTTTTTCATCGTTGATATTCTGTATGTTTATACTGTTTCTGTTTACACTGTATGTTTATACAATTTTTTTCATATTATTTGCTGTATTATAGCAATATTCAAGTAACTGTAGATAGCTATTTTTTCTGTCATTTATTTATTTTTTATGTATTTATTTTCACTATTTCATTTTAAACTGATACGAGACGTTTTATTATTGATGGCAGATCATAATTTTTAATTAAATATTTCAAGCACAACTTTCTGGTCTCAATGATAGAATAAAGTGTTACTGATGTCAGATTTCTTGCCTCTAATTTTATTTTTGTTTAGAAAGAAACTATTTTTTGATCCAGTAGGACTTTAACAGGCTGATATATTTTTGCTTCTATCTTTAAATTAAAAATAAGCTGTTAAACTTAAGAACTCCAAATGTTTTGCATACCAAAACAGAGTAATAATGTTTTTTTTTTTTTTTATCTGACTGCACATGAAGCAGCTCTGAATGGACTTGGAATGTTGAACTAGTTGTTTTTTTACAATCATTGTGTGCAGAAAAATTGACTATTATCTATTCTCTGGTGCTCACAATGACCAGGCTTTCCTAATGACCTCTCCTTTTTGGAGTAAGGATTATTCCTAAGAAGTGAAAGTGATCGAAAGAAGATAGCGTTGTGCAAAGGACATAAAGGTGCCTAAAACGGTTCTGCATGCACCATTGGCACCTGTCTATTTGCAGTCTCATTGCTGTCCTGGATCAGACCACTAACAGCTGTGTCACCTTCAAATTTCACAGGGGAACCTGCAGAGGTGCAGTCATTTATGTGCAGGGAGAAAAGGAGTGGCGACGGAATGCCACAAAGTAAATGCTGATGGTTATTGAGCTGGCAAATATTTTCCTCAGACTAAACTGATGCTGCTGGTGCGTCAGTAACTGCGTGATCCTGGTCAGTTGGAGGCTGGCACTGTGAGCTGGGTGAGCTTCAGGGGGAGGTTGCCTGGGTTAATACTGTTAAAGCTGGGCTGTAGTCTATAAACAGGATCCATGCGTCTGTAGGTTGTAGAGTGATACAGGACAAAGTTGTCCCTTATTGCTGCACATCAGCTGATAAACATAGTGTCCAGCAGGGGGCATGTGATGTCCTTCAGATATTTTTGAACCAAAAGCTCAATTGATTCAATGATTTAAGGTGTTTGGGGGTCAGATTTGTAGTCATTTACCCCAGATTGGACCAGGAGTGTTGGAAGCAGGAGAGAATCTCACTCACCTCCAGAGATTATTGAAAATCTGATTACGATTACGGCCAATAGTCAGCACAGGCTTTCAGGCAGATGGAGGTCTATAATATCCTTTCACATACGTCATTCAGTTCAATATATCCCAATATAACATTATTAATTTGAAAATAATCACTTCACAGTTTTACCTAAGTTATATACATAAAAAAAAAAGCTGCAATGACAGTTATGTTGTAAGGTTAAAAGAAATAAAACATTGTGCTTTATTGTGTTAATTTCAGATGTTTGTGTTAAAAAAAAATCATCATATGAAATTTGATCAAACATTTTAATACATTCAATTCTTTTTACACTCCATGTAACTAAACTCTGCATCAGCTAAATTATTGTATTTACTGGTGATATGTGAATATGAGTCCATCAGTCTCATCCGACTTCCTGCTCTTCTTACTTCTTGTCAAGGTTAAAGATTTCTCGGCTTTCGATTAGGATGAACTCCACGATCTGGTTCTGGTAAACCATGTTAACAGCCATGTTTCCTGCATCCAGCTCAGGCCACATCAGTGTCGGACCAAATACAATACCAATACCCTGAGTGGACATCAGATTCTTCTTTGAGAAAACCAGAACCCTGAGGAAAAGCACAGCACATATCAAATTAAAGGAAATATATTTACAAGAGGTAGATTCATTAGATTAAGAAAATCTCCTGAAACACTGTGTCTGAATCTGGTTCTAATGAGCGGTTCTGTTTTGGTTTGGTTTGATGAATTCTGCTTCAGGTGTCTTTAATTGAGGTTCCATTTAAATGTATTTCTGTTGTCATTTCATTTTTGTTTATAAAAGCTTCATGTTTGGGTCACATGTAGTTCTGGAGTATAAAAAGTAAAGCACATAAGTATGCACAAATACATTTAGATATAGGACTGCTTACATGCAGTCTGGCAACATCATTTCCTTTGTACTTTGAAATCCACATTTAATTGAGCTGAAATTAGAGAATCATTAATTCTCCCAATGACAGTCGCTCATTGGTAGTCATATGCATAACAGACTCATCTACTAAGATTTAAAAATTTGAAATGCATGATAGCAGAGACTGAGAGCCGGGCCTTCTGAACTCTGAATTTGTGAGGTCACACATCAGTGTGTGACCTCACAAATTCACTTCTGGAAGAAGGGTCAAAAAATCAGAAACACTCCTAATATATATGTATATGTGTAAACAGACATACTTTTGTAGGTGGCTGAAGAGCACCTTCATGGTGTCATGGTTGGGTTTTGGTAGCTGGTGAATCAGTTTCTTCACAGCTTGTATTTTCTGTTTTGATTCTTTGATCTCTGTTGGAAAGAACAATAAAACAAGCAGCAGTGCCAGTTTAACTCTAAGGAAGGACTCCTATTAGAACATCTTCATCTAAGTATTTTGGGGAAAACAATAATCATAGCATCAGATTTTGAGGTTTATTTGATCTGATTTAAACATAACTGGTGCAACTTTTCATTGTTTAACTATCTGACAGAATCTAAATTCAATAACCCAGGAAGAAACACAAAACACAGATAATATCTCTGGATTTACTCACTGACTGTCTCCACAAACTGCTCGAAGAACCTGAAGGGGAACAGCGGCTCTGGCAGCTCACGGAAATACATCTTTAAAGCTCCTGTGATGACATGGATGTCCTCCCATTGATTGTGATCCAGGTCCAGCTCTTCTTCTAGAAGAGGAAAGATGAAAAGATTTTATATTTTAGTCTAGTATATCTAACAGAAAACCATTTTACTTTTGCTGTTGTCTTCCTATTGCAAAGGAAGACTGTTGCAGGCTCAGATTTTCTCTTTATTTTGCCGTTTTAATTGTATTACCTAAGTATATTTAACCCATATAAATCTTAATCAACGGCCCAAAACATCATTGTGTGGATTTGTTTCTATTGTTACTCACCAATTACTTAGAATGAACTTAATACATACAAAGCAAGTCAAAGTAAGTAATTCATTAGTTAATAAAAAATAAAAAAACACAGTCTAATTGAGCAAACAATACTACATCTGGTTTAATGCACAGGATCTTTTGTTGTTTTGTTTCGATAGGAACATAGGTATAACAGAAAAATAGTTATGATATAAATGAAGCAATTCCTATATATCAGGTATATTCAGTTTAAATATCTCAGTCACAAAAAATAACAGGTTTGCTTCACTATACTCTATCTACCTCTAGAATAGTAGAATTTGACCCAGCATAACCACAATATCCACAAAAGCAGAGACAAACCCACTGGTCCTCTAACCAGACCCCTTCCGGACTTATGCAGCGCCAATAATCCAGTCCTTAAAAGTTTTGAACAGGACCAGTGACCGACCCCTAGTGGGGTCCAACATGCACCAGAAACAGGTCCTACTTAAAGCCAGCTATGTGAACCAGACTCCTGCTCTGCTTGCACAAGTTCGTTAGATTTCCAGTGTTGGTGTTGCATTTTGAAAGTACAGTGTTAATTCAAAGCCTGTTTAGTCTAACTCAATGATGCGAAACTTAGCTCCTCCAAAGACTAGTGTTGATCTGGTGAGGTAAATCTAAGCAACTCTGTTAAGCATTAATTTCAAATTTGGTTTTTAAAATACTAGAGTTTTTCCCTTAAATTCCAACTTATAGGTTATGTTTTTTTCTTAAGGAGCGGGGCAACTCCTCAAACGGAACCGCATCAGATGATACTATTGGCCTAAAATCAATCAGATACACTAACCTACTTACACATATACTTTCATTTTCTTCTTTCCAACTATATTAATTTATTCAAAAAAATCCATTGTCTTAATTTTGTAGGATTTCTCTTGGCTGCTACAGTTGTGTTTTTGCTATATTTTTTGTCCAATCACATTTCAGGCTCTGTGTGTTGCTATGTCCTTAAAGCTTGGATGTCTTTAAATTTTCTAAATTTTAATGAAGAAAAGACAGAAGTCATGGTCTTTGGTGGCACATCTGTGACCCCCTCCCTAGTTGATCTCGGTTCTGTGCTGATTCTGCTGATCTTACCTTAACAATACTCGTAAAGAACGTTTTCTGCAACCAATCAGATTTCAGATTTGCGCCTCTGTGCCAGAAGCGGCCCCACCTATACGTCACCATTTTCTGCCCTCTGATTGGTCAGTTAGAGCAAAATGTTTACAGCCAATTTAAGCCAGCGACAATCTGCATTTTAGATTCGCTTTTCTTTAAAGTTTTTCTTGCCTCCATGGCTGATACTAAATGGAGATACTAAGACTTCCTGCACAAAGACAGAGGGATTGATTTTATTTATAAATAATCAGCATCTCTGGTGAGTGTGACGAATTTTATTTTCATGCTTTATGCTCTTTTTTATGTGGTAATTAGATGAATATTGAATCTGAATGGCTACTGATGATGTAATTATAGCAGAGCTGTGGTTAAAGATGAGAGGATTGTGGTTGTCTTAACTGGGCTTCTTGTTTAACTGACCTCTATTCATCCTCACACTGATCTTCCTCTTGGTTATACCTGCACTTGTTACATTTCACATTTGAATACTATTGGGCGTTTCTCTTACTATAATGCGAAAGTGATGATATTAAGCCCTTGACACCCATCATTGCAAGGTAGAAGAAGTAAATTAAGTTGAGGGTACCCATTGAAGGCCTAGGTACCATATGCACCACCCGCCACTGGATGATTGACGTTATTGGCTTTACACAGTAAAATGCTAAGCTGCCGAGTACATAGCAAGGGTGGGGATCGATTTCTAGACATCTTATAAAAGCTGGATTAGCTCTCTGACCCAGTAGGGGTAAGTAAACCTCACCTCTGTCTTAAAATGTATATGGAAATTACCAGAGATGGGGGACGGTTAAACAAAAAGTCATCTGTATACCATTTATTAGTTTTGCCCATCCACTGACTTGACCCGCTTGACTTGTCCAAGTCTATAAAGCACATTTGGATCGGTTAAGCAAACTCCTGACTCCATAACCCTCGAACACTCTGCGGTCTACTATTCCACAGTCAGGAGCCTCACTGCTCCTCCTGAAGCCAAGAATCAGCAATCCGCTGGACTCTCCTTGTCCAGGACTCTAGCTGTGGTCTTCCGAGGAAGACTGAGAAGTTTGAGCCCCCTGTAGTAAAAGCACAACCTCTGGAGGGGAACCATGACTGTACTCTGCTTTTCCGGAGACATTGTCCCTGATCACCCCAGAGACTTCTCACTTGGAGTTTCCTGAGCACCTGCTACTTTATACCTCATACCTTCATACCTTTTTTAAAATTAGCTAATTTTATTGTGTGAAATAATTCAGTAGCTGGCCAACCTGCAGTATCTGTTTATTAGAGGTGAACTGATGGTGGAAGACATTTTGCAAAGAACTAAATTTATTATTTTGTCAAGTTCTTTATTATTTTATTTGATGTTGTTGAGTTCCTATTTATTTGCCTGTAGTTCAGACCTGTGTTATGAATCAAATTGATTTTTCTGAACCATCTGGAAAAGGCGTGAGAGTGCATGTTTTTTTTTTGCAATGATAATAATGTTCTTATAATCCCAAATATTTAAAAGGTTGTAAGATAGATTTTCATTCAGCTTTGGTTTCTCAAGTAAATTTTCACTTTTTTAATGTTTCATTTTGATACAGTTAGGAGACATTTCATTCCAACAGACCTTGATCGACAATGAAACGAAGCTTCTGGATTGTGGCCAGGTTTCCGCTGACCCTGTAGATCCCATCTGCTTCTAGACCTGCAAACAGAAACATTTTATAGATGAAGAAATAATGGATTCTGTTTGTTCTGCTTCAGAGCAGTTTAACAGCTCAGTGTAAAAAGGTAGAGTCATCTTCCAGGGAACTTACCTCGTTTCTCTACAGCTTCTAAACAAAGCTTCACAAACTTTGGAACTGTGGTTCCTTCACGTTCACATAGCGTCAGAAGGTGGCAACCAAATACTCGGTCTAGACATAAAGGAGGAAACTGTTATGTTAAAAGGTCTAAATTCTTTGTAGATTCCTAATCTAAAAGTTATTACCTTTATCTCTTAGAGTTTTAAATATTAAACAAACAAAAAAAAGAAATAGTTTATGGTAGCTATTCAAAGCTTTTGATTAACTCCATCCATCCATCCATCCATCCATCCATCCATCCATCCATCCATCCATCCATCCATCCATCCATCCATCCAT